TAGGCGCCATATTGCCGTGTGTACCTGTCCAGACGGAACGCGAGGAAATGCTTTTCATAATTGTAATCCCATTAACAGTAGAGCGGTGTACAATTACGGCAGGGTTTAGCGATATCCCTATTAATTGTATTTTGAAAAAAATGAATGACGACATTCGTAATATTCTTTTTTATAGTTTATATACAAACTGTAATCGTTAACAGCGCTATTGTATTACATTATGTATACAGGGTGTCCCGTAACTCCTCGAACATCCGGAAATGGGGGGTAGCTGGGGTGACTCTGAATAACTTTTTCCTTTTCCAAAATCCAGTTTGAAGCTTCGTTTTCGAGTTATTAACGAAAAACACTGGCCAATTACAGCGCGCGTAGAGCCCGCGCTCAGGGGCGGATAACAGGGGCTCATCCGCGCGCGATCGAACATATGCGTACGCGTGACTTCTCGGTTCTCGATAGCTGTCAAAAAAATTTCACTTTGCACTGCTGTTTTTATAAGGCTTAGAGAAATGGTTTTTGGCCGTCATTTCGACGTTTGTATAAATTTTTGAAAAAACTGCAATTAGTCTGAATCGCGAAGAAAATAGCGAAGGTCGTTTTTACAACTTTTTTATCTGAGCTCGAAATGAAAATCTAAAAAATACATTTTGCAGATCTACGTCAATTATACACACGGTGAAAATTTCATCGAAATCGGTTAATGTTTCTATGAGCTACAAACCGCACTATCACGACTTTCGGTGTAAAACTGTAATAAATCTGCAGATTCTTACATCTTTCAATAGGTAATCAAGAATATAAAATATATTTTATTAAATTTATGTAACTTTAACTAATATTCTATCACATTTCTGTATTTTGGTAAATTAAAATGAGTTTTTATATGTATTATCAAGCCAGATAAAGTTACTAGGTAATTAATTCTTAAAGCGAACTTTGTGTCACGCATTCCTTTCACATGCTATCAGATCTAAGATCAGATTTACAGAGAATATAATACTTTTCAAACAAAAGTGTCGTAATACTTTTATTAAAATAACTGCATAAACTATTACGTTAATTATTTCTCAATTATTTCACTTTTGCTGAAATAAAAATAAAGAGAATCTTAATGCGTTAAATTTTGACTTGTGACATTTTCTAACCATTTCAAACTGGTCCCGTTTATATGAAATACACGATATATGATGCATAAGTACAATACCGGTAGAAAGTTTCGAAGCAATACGACTTTTAAAAAATATGGCATCAAAACAATAAGTAAAGTCATAATTTATGGTTCGTTTTGCATAATATACAGAACAATAAATGTACAAATAATAGACATAATTTTTATGAAATAAAACAATTCAGTGAATTAAGTGAAACTAGATTTATTTAATACTGTTTTATCTTCCACTATGAACAGCAAAGAAATATTAAAAGATGTTAAAAAGTGACAGTATATCGAAACTTTTTGTACACACTGTATATGCGCATATAGTTTAGTGGCAGACCGACAGAGAACGACAGTTTAGTACGAATACGAACGAAGAGGGGATCGTAACGACTCTTGCAAGTTTTTAAACTTTTGTTACGCAGTTATCGAAGAATCCCTAAAAAACGATCGAGATACTAACAACGAGGCTGTCTTCGGCAGCGAAGGCATATTTATCGTGGGGGTTGGCCCGCTGGGCTCTCTCGGCCCAGAAGCCCAAAGAGATGTCTATTCGGTCAGCAGTCCACCGTCTCATGCAAAATGGTCGGGCTCTACTGCATTCCGTCAGTAATACCAAGTACTTCTACGCTAATTACCGCCCAAGGATCTATCACGACAAGATACACGTTGTGCAAGTAGGTGAGTCTCGTGACATGAATTTTTTTATTTTTTTTCGACTACTTAGTCGTTAGAAGACTTTTTGGCATGACTGATCACCAAACAGAGACCTTCGACAGATTTAACCCTTTTGACACTTCATAATTCATATATTTTTTACGATTCTATTGTCAGTTAAATTATATTCTGATATTTTTTCAGTATAAGGTTACCTGACTGTTGTATGTTGTATATTTTTACTATACAGAGGGTGATTCAAATTGTTAGAACAAACGTTACACGATGACAATGATAGAACACCCCATGTTTTTTTTTATAGAAATCAAAAAAGTATTGGACACTAAGCAAGCAATTAAAAGATAGTATATTATTAAGATAAAATTTAACGATGTCAAATCTGTTGTAAATCACTTTGTATTGTAATGCAACATGTCAACATTTTTTGAAATATGAAGACCTCTCATGTATCTGATAATCTTTGACATTGCTGTAGGCAAGTCCCAGGGCTGCCTGCCCCAGGGTAACAATAATGTGTCCACCACAGGAAAGCACCTTAGCTACTTGGGGACTCATGCTCGACGAATCTTTGTAAATAACATCTTGAACAGAGTCACCAATAGTTTGGCTGCTAACTTGCGCAGACGTGCAGCTAGCAGATTGATTTTTGGTGACTCTACACCCTTTTTTGCCCTGGTTGGTGTATCATTGGCTTCTGGTACTGGAATGTTGACAAAAGATGATGAACTAGTATAATTAATGTGCATCATTTATAGGAGGCCATATCAAAATTGAAATGGAATACCCCACAAAATGATAAAAATTGTGAGGTCATCAAAGATGATGAGAAAGTTGTCACTTTAAAGGATTTTGTAATTGGTCCTGCAATAGCAAAAGGATGTTCTGCAGTTGTCTATGCAGCCAAATTCAATGATTCTCCTTGCAGCAAAAACGAGAACCAAATAAACATTGATGAGAAGACTAAAGATGTAACTGCATTTCCAATGGCATTAAAAATGATGTTCAATTATGATACTGAATCAAATGCACTGTCTATTCTGAGATCCATGTACAGAGAAACTGTACCAGCTAGAAAATTTTTAAAAAATGAATTAGCGGATTGGGAGATGAGATTGACAGAAAGCAAAGTCAAGCTACCACCACATCCAAACATTGTAGCAATGTATTACGTTTTCACAGATAGAGTACCAGCTTTGCCCGGTTCATGGGGCATGTATCCCGATGCTTTGCCAGCTAGAATCAATCCTCACGGTTCTGGAAGGAACATGAGTTTGTTTCTACTGATGAAAAGGTTTCTATTAATTCAAGAAATAATCGCCATTGCATATTAGATGATATAACTCTTTTTTTTTTCCATTGCAGATATGATATCACGCTGAAACAATACTTGATCGATCACAACTTGAGCATGAGGGAATCGATATTGCTACTTGCTCAGTTGCTCGAAAGTGTGATTCATTTGAATGCACACGGCATAGCACACCGGTAAGGCAATATCTTTTGTTCAAGTGGAATGTCATTGTATTAGGTATCAGTTAGATCATATTGAGTTTCATTACATGCTTTCTTTTCTCATCCTTAAAAACAGTGATTTGAAGAGTGATAATATCCTGCTAGACTTGTCAGAAGAGACAGATAACTGTCCATCTTTGGTGATCACAGATTTTGGATGTTGTTTGGCGGACAAACGTCATGGACTGTATCTACCTTACAACACACATGATATCGACAAAGGTGGAAATGCTGCCTTAATGGCGCCAGAAGTGATCACAGCAGAACCCGGTCCGTTTACCAGTATAAATTACACCAAAGCTGATTTGTGGACAGTTGGGACCATAGCCTATGAAATATTTGGCATGAACAATCCGTTTCATGCTGACAAGGAGAATACTTCCCTCAAGAATTACAATTACAAAGAGGAGGATCTCCCAGCTCTGCCAAGCCACGTGCCAACAGTTATTTCTGCACTGATCAAAAATTTATTGTCTAGAAGCCCATACAGGGTACATCATTACAAAACTAAATATGATTTTCTTGTAAAATACTTTAATATTTCATGAGATAATTTCAATTTCAGAGACTTGATACAGAAACAGCAGCGACAGTAATACAATTGCACTTGTGGGCACCCAGTGCTTGGTTCAGAGGTGAAGAAAAATTACCATCAAGCAACGAGGTATTTTCTTTTTATTGTCATATGTAGTTGTAAATTTATTTAGAATTTTTTTTATCTTTTTCACAGGTAATGCAATGGCTTTTGTGCTTAACTACGAAAATACTTTGTGAAGGACGCAATACGATGCTGGTTCCTGAAGTGTTCCAGAAAGAGAATGTTGGAAGATACGAAAGAAGGGATTGTTATCAAAGATCGCTTTCCACAAAGTCTTGTGGAAGACGTACTATGCCCGAATATCAATTAATCGCAAGTTTCCTCGGTAGAGTTACGCTTGCAAACATTAGAAGCGCCTTGAAGTGGATACAACAGAATGTATAATATATTTTCTAGTGTAACGATACGAAGAAAGTATTTATCTCCTGCATATCGAGGAACAAGGCCGCGTTCTGTTTTTATTGTCTTACGAATGAAAGATTGTTGAAATATTTTTGTATACCCCGATTTTATCATATATTATTATCGTTAATGTTCCTCAGTTTTTCCTCCTTATGTTAATTTATTTTTGATACTCTTGGAAAGCGTAAAAGAGTCTTGCTTCCAACTATGTTTTGAGTATGGTGAACCTTTTGAAAATGTAATTGAAATCAAGTGGCATAAAATGATTCTTTTGTAATTGTCGTGCCTTGTAATCGAACAATGCTAGAAAGTATCGAAGTATATTTATTTTGGGCGGTTTTATTGTATTCAATATTATTTATTGAGGTTATTTAAGGAATTAATTTACTTATGTGCATGGAGAGCGATCTTTCGTACTTTGATAAAGATAGCTTGCTCTGTATTGTCAATTAACGCTTATTAATTCATTAATGCGATACTAAGTGTATTGACGTATAATGATTTTCGAGTAGATTTTATGCAAGCATCACGCCTCCTTAAGTTCAAAAAAATTTTATGTATGACTTTCTTTTCATCGGTACTTTTTAACATGCCAGCTCATTATGAGATAATATCGAAATACCGTGTATATGATTACAACATTGTAAACGTTGTTCAGAAATAAAGCTTGTACATAGCGTTCATGGACTTGTAAATCAAGAAGTTTTCTTGGGCCTTCCACATGTTTGCATTTTAACCTTCATGTCTTCGAGATTGATATTTCTCGATATAGCCAGATCTTCTAAGTAAGTTAAATATTCATCATAGGTTAGAGCTCTTTTACGAAACTTAAAAAATGCGAGTCCTGTATCTGTTGTCGTTAATGTAACCATGTTGAGAATATGCGCAGATATTAACCATTTGTCGCTTTGCGATAGTGGCAGAAGTTCCACATTTTGTTCGAAGGAAACTGGATCCATTTGACAGTATGCTGTTACAATAATAAATATGTATATTTTAACAATTTTTAAAAATTATTTTTCTTAATTACCTATGAACATCTCTTTTAACGGAATAATCTCTGGTTCATCCCTTTTTTTTAGAAAAAAATCATCAATTGAAGAAAATTTTTTTTGATTTTTCTTTGAACAAATTAAAATCATGAAATTGAATAAATGTACGAATTATAACATTGGCGCAGTAAACAATGTGAAACCTCATTTTCATCAGGCTCTAAACCAATGTTTCTGCACAGCAATTTGCAGCAAGACAAAAAGACTTGACATGCGTGGATATGTGGTGTATCAAAAAATTAGGTTGTAAAAATTAGAAATCGTGATTAAAATTTCTCTAAATATCTGATAGATTAAATTCTCTTGTATCTTCTTTGAATACTTACAGGAGAAACCTTCAAAACGTAGACATTCCAGCGCTATTAATATTTTTGAAGGATCATCAAAACATCACACACATAACTTTGGCGAATAACAACATTTCGGATAGTGGCTTTATAAGTTTACTCGATCATTTTGTAGTAAGATAAAATATCTTTAAGAAACAAAAGAATTTCTAGTGATACATATTTTTACATAGTTATATAAGAATGTTGAGGAATTGGATTTGCAAAATAATAATATTGCTGATCTTGGAATTAAGTATATGCTGGAAGTAGGAAAGAATTTGGAAATAAAAAGTCTTAATTTGGGGGCAAACAAATTTGGTGTCCATGTAATAAGTTTTGGTATATATTTTATTCATTTGATTTGTCAATCAAGTCTTGATTTAATGATTTTTACAGGCATCAAAAGATGTGGCACTTTTTCTACTAAAAAACAAGTATATACATAGTTTAAATGTTGCAGAAGTAAATCAAACAGCTTCCAGTTTAATATACTTTATGATGGTTTTGAGCTCAGACCAAGAGATCTCTAATGGAACTTTAAAAAGCCTAAATATAAGTAGACCAAATCCAGGATGCATGTATTACTTTGATTCTGTTCATTTTGCAGATGTCATTGGTCACATGCTGCAAGTAATTTCCTATTTGTACTCTCTCTTTTAATATCTATTTAAATTAGATTATTTCTTCATAGCATAATACTACTCTGAAAGCATTGCACTTGCAAAAGTATAACTTTGATTGCCATGATATTGAGAGCATGATGTTCAATGCTATACACAATAATTCATTACATTTGCTAGATTTAGGTTGTAATAATATAGGAGATCATGGTATTAATCACATTGCCAAGTGGCTGGTGGAGAAGCCACCTTTGAAAACTCTTATTTTGTGCAGGAATATCATAACTGATCATGGTGCAAGGTATTTGGTCATTGAACTAAAGCATTCTGTAAATTTGATATTAGTCACAGTTATTTTTAGGAGCTTAAGTTTTGCTATTCCATTTTCAAAACTTGTATCACTTGATATTTCATATAATAAGATCACTGATGATGGAATGGTCTATATTTTGTATACATTGAAGAAGTTTCCTATGTTAAGACGGCTGAGAATATTCAGCAACTGTATTGGACATCCAGCTGCTAAAGTATTCATATAGAAACAGTATCATTGGTAGAATCACTATTTCAGAGTTATTTGCAGATACTTAAACGAATGTTGATGTCTCAAGTGCTGCAACAAGAGAATATAGATGTTAGACCATATAGAGTGGATCACAGGTGGTACTTTGCAAGATATACAGGGGACTGTTGTAAAAAAGGAGATGTTGATGTTCCATATGGTCTCTTTTCACAAATGTCAAAATCTCCTCCTGTACAAGCAACTCGTCCATGTAGAAAATATTACAAATACACATATTCACAAACAACTAAGATTGATATCCAACATGTAGGTTTTTATATCTTCTATTCTTAATCATTTCCTGTGTTTGGTTTATTCAAAAATACTTTCTTTCAGTCGGTTGTAACTATGATTTCTCAGATAATGAGCAGAGCTCATATGAAAGACTGTAGATGCTGCTATTGTTTCAAATGCCAGGGTAATGATAAATTTATTATTTTCATTCATATGAGAATAATATAGTATCTATTTTAAATTGGTTAGCTTCACATTATGATGAGACATGTAGAAATGCTGATCACCCAGACACATGTACCTGCTGCAAATGTAAAGGAGATGAAAGCAGTGATTGGTCTGTGGATAAATTAATTGCAAATAGACTCTTATCTCCTTTTGATCTTAAAAAGAATATTAAGTACATCTTAACGCGTGTCAATTCCATGACTAAGGAGAATATTGTAAGATGGATTAACATCGACGAGAACCTTTTAGAAGAAAATTTAAAGTATATTGGATGTATGAATTTAAGAATTTTCATTATCATTCTAAATTATAAATTATAAATAATTAAAATTGGTTTTCAATTTTGAATGAAGATACAATATTCCAAGACCAATATGAAAAGAGTATTCCTTGCACATCTTCATGGGCACAACTGAGCGTATCCGCATTGCAGAAGTACTTGCAAGAATCTTCTTCAAAGAATTTACTTGTCATATCCAAAAACGACCCTATCTTCTCCAGGAATGTTTGCAAGAACATCGATGATAAATCGATTACTTCGTCAGATTCCTGCACAATGTATTAGTTTAAGGGTACCTAATTTTGTGTACAGAGACGGCCAAGAATGTTCACTTGAAAATCTTGATTTATTATCAACCATCTTTGGTCTTGAGTTTTGCATACATATACAAATTGATTATTCAGAAAGTACAAAAATAAAAAATACAATAATACATTACATCTCATAAAAATGATCTAGTTCTTTGTTGATTCACTTTTTCGTTCTTTCGATTTTTCTTTGTTGCTCCTTACGTTGCGTCGACCATCGATCAGCATAGCTTGACTTTGCTCTTGCTTGATCTCCAACATCTTCTCTGGTGACAATTGGTTCGTGTTAGTTTCACGAGGAGATTTGTTGGTCTGTATGAGATTACTTGCTTCAGAGGCGACAGGACTATGCATGGTATTCTCCTTGTTCCTCAGAGTGCTCTCTGGAAGACTGAGAGTAGGTTGTTGCACAAATGGGCTGACAGCTCTGAAGGCAGGGAAGGTATTGATGGAGACTCCTTTACTGGCATACGTGTTCTCCATTAACTGCTTGGTACCGTACTGGCCAGCACCAGAGTCTGAACCATAGACATACATATTTTGGTACGAGTCGTGGCTGTGGTGGTGAGGGTGGTGGTGTCGATGATTTGGGATATTTAAATCGATGTGAGTATTAGTTCTTCCCTGAGGTTCCACTCTTATTTTCTGTGAATGATCAGAACATGTTAATTAACACATTGAACATTTTCTTAACTTTTTATCATTGACAACTTACCTCTGCTACCATATGGGGCATCATCATTGAAGATCTTGCATACGCTGATGGATAAGGCATGACAGGTACCATATTCATTGCCAATGGCCTAACATTGGAACAAGTGCATGAAGTAAGGTAATTGTGCAGGGGATTGGTGCATGGTGTAGTTGCTGGAACTTCCATTAAGGGAACAAACTGTGGTTGTTCAGGAATAAACATCAGATGTTCTTCGTATGTAGGAGCCATTGGCAGCAGCGCTAAGGTCTCTTGTGGCTTTGGTAAAGGCTGTGCCTGCTGTTCAATGCGCATAGGCTTGGGCTTCTCAGTAACAGGTACTGTTTCTGTGACAGGAGCTGGAGTTGGCTTAGGCTTTGGTTGTGGCTGTTGCTTCTCAATGCCATGGATGACATTGGTGTTGGATGAGGACTGAATTACATTCACAGCTGAAGAAGGTTGAGCTGGATGTTGGGCAATGTGCAAGTTTGGAATTGGTTGTTGAGGAATAATGATGCTAGGCTGGGGTAAGGTTTGAACAATAGGCTGGAGCACATTCAGAGTGTGAATTTGTGGAGGAACAGACTGAGCCTGTATCCTCAGTGGGATGTTCTGAACAGTAACTAAATTTTCCTTTACAGGTTGTTGACAATTTGGTTGTATTTGAAAATAAAGTGCAGCTTTTTTTGTTCTGTCCTTTTCCTCACCACTTTCTTCAATGTTCAGGTTCTCCTGTTTGGCCTCTGCTTCTACCGTTTCTGCTAATGATTTCTTCTCGATGATCTTGGCCGCTGGACCAGCTTGGATGAGCGTGATACCCAATAACAGGAATAAGAAAGACACGTTGAGATGCATTGTTGACTCTGTGTCGACTTGTTGACTTTGAGACTGACGACTGACCGACTGAATTTCGTTTTTATAGGGACTTCACGACGTATGAATCCATTTTTAAGGCTTGCATTTTGCAACGACTCGCTTCACGCAACAAAAATGTGGTATTGCTGACTGCGCTCTGTAACAGTTCCGTCATTGCTGCATCTTTTGTAAAAATTTGAATACATCACCGTTCATTTTATATTTATGTAAATGTAATATGTGGATACGCAATTATTTAATTAATGAAATAAAAAATT